TAAATAATGCACAGAATAAAATATTGCAAGTAATCGTACGTACAGATTAAATTAATTAGAAAATATTTAAACTGGGCTGTCCTGCTATTTACAATTGCACCGAGGAAATGGTCCTCGTATGTAACGATACGTCGTAGAGTATAAATTTTGATTTGGCTCTGTGAGTTTTTTGATATTTCGCGATGCACCGCGAAATACCAAAAACTTACAGCCAAATCAAAATTATACTCTACGACGTATCGTTACATACGAGAGCGGATTTCCTCGGTACAATGGTAAATAGCATGACCGCTCAGTTTAAATATTTCTTAATTAATTTCATCTATACGTTTGGTTACTTGAGAACTTGCAATATTTTACTCGATGCATTACACTGTACAGCAAGAAAAAGCACAAGAACGAACCTTGCGGCATTCGACAGTTTTTTGGCCGCAGAAAACGATCCCATTTGCCAAATTGCTCTATCACGTCACAATTTTGACATATTTGCAGTTAGCAAAAATGGGCTATTTTAGTGTATTTTGACATATTACAACTACAATAATGACGAATCATACTTAATTTTGATTGCTTAAAATTCTCCGATACGTCACATATCGCAGTTATAATATGCTAAAATACACTAAAGTAGCTCATTTTTGCAACTTTAATGGCAAATATCTCAAAATTGTGACACAGCAATTTGGCAAACGGAATCGTTTTCTGCGTCCAAAAAATTATCAAATGCTGCAAGATTCGTTCTTGTGCTTTTTTTGTACAGTGTAATACGCCGCTGGCAAAAATTTTTGAAACAATAGTATTAATAGTAATTCTGCGTATAATTTCTGTAGTTAGTGTACACTATTTTTAAAGGTAAAAAAAATATTGTGTAATCGGAATAGAAATGTAAGACGTATTTTTATTAAAAGTAAAAGTTATTGTAGAATTCACGATTTTTTTCTTATATCATTTTGCAGAAATTATAGAACTTTACGATGAAGATTGGTGACACACGGAAACTTTTGAGTTTTCTGAACTCGCAATAATCTTTACATTATATATCGATAGCTTAGAGAAATAGTTAAAATTCTCGCGGTCCTATTAAATTACTAAGCATAAAAAGCATCCTTTTTTTTATATAATAGTTTATATAATGTGTACAAACGATGACTAACTACGAAATACGATGTAAATGGCTATTGCAAGAACATGTATACTGCATTTCACGTTATGTATATTGCTTATAATCAGATATTTATGTATTTTTTAGTGGTACCGACAATTAACAAAACATATAAGGAAGCTTAATTTTGATATATCTTTGTATTTTGATTATACATATGGAAAATACTTCCGGAATACAAGTTAGGATGTCGATGTATATCAACGTATACGTATGTATACATCGCTTATGGTCGGTCCCAACATATGCCGAACCATAAAGATATATATATATATATATATATATATATATATATATATATAAATTTATATATATATAAATTTATATATTATAATTCATATATATATAAATTTTATATATTTTTTATATTTTTACATATAATATCTTATAATTAAAAAAAAAATTTTTAAGAGATGAGGCGGTTTGCGGAATGAGTAATTAGCTGCATTTATTACAGGCAAATTGGGGCAGAAGCAATGCACTGTGATTGTCCGGATGGTTACGTTGGGCACAATTGCGAAACTCGTCTTTTAGACACCTCAGACACCGGTAATATTTTATCTTGATTAGATATGTTTGATCCGTTTTATTTCGGTACACAGATTATTCATTCTCATCGTTAATGATAAGGCTGAGTAAAGTCGCGAGTGAAAGTCGCGTGAAAACACGAGAATCTCTGGAATTCGAAAGAACTGATTAGTTATATCTTCACAGAATGCGCATCGGAGAATTGCATACTGCAATGTCCTGTTGACGAGCAGGAGCAACCGTGCACTTGTAAAGACGGCACAAAGATATACAACAGTGAGTTTTAATCTTTTGCATATCTAATAGTTTATTATTAGACGTTGTTTTTCTTTATGTATTTTGCGAGTCTTCAGCATAGTTTTTTTTTTAGCTTAAACTTTTCGATCAATTTTAATTTTTTTGAAAATGTTATTTAACATTTAAAATTAAATAGCTTTGTAATTAAGCTTAAATATAAACTTTATCGAAATGAAACAAAGGATATTATTTTACCTAGTTATATATCTGAAGCTTGATTGATTAAAACATTAGCGTTTTTGCACTTTGGTCAAGCTAAAATATGTATTCGAAATTACTCAAAGAATTTGTAATGTAAAAGAAAATGCGACGAACTTGGAACATTTTATATGACGCATGGACTTTGTATTCGTAGATCGATCGAGGTACGAATGCAGAATCAAGTTGTCGAACGTTACGTCTCTCCGCACGGGTCTGATATCTCAACAGGGAAGTTTGGAATTATTTGTCAGCAAGCAGGTGAGTAAAAAGGAGATATATTTGGTTTATTTGGCTGTTTTTGATAAAAAAAAAAACATTTATATATTGTTTATATTGTTTAACAACAATCGTTTGCCAAAATGATATAGATTTTGTTTTGATAGTGACGCACTTCGTAAAGTGTTTGCGATAAGAGTATGAAGAATAAAAGAACAACCACGCATGCTTTGACGCATGTACATGCGAGTTTATGTGAAAACGAGATATGCATAAATGGATTATATAATAAAATAGCATTCTCAGCTTTTAAAATAGCATGCATGCGTGCGCGCGGCGTTTTGAAGACTGTTGGAAATATTACAGAGATTTCCCGATGTAAAACTACATTCCTGGTTTAACGTAAGCACAAGCACATGACGTCGGTCAGCGGTGTATATTGAATCGCAATCGACAATATGGCAATTACATGTGGTAATGATTTTTGTACATTTGCGTCAATTTACGCTGAAGAACGCACGTCTGAACAGACACATTGTTACTTACAATCTAATCCGTGAATCCAAGGAGCAATCAATTTATTGCGACTTGAATGTAAGCTATGCTTAGTAACAATACAGAAATATCCGAATATACGTCAGAGTAAAGTATCAGTATGAATGTATTACCTGAATATTAACTAATTATACTAAAATTATAGCATACATGTATATATCTCTCTGAAATATTTAGTTATTTATGAAAAATTTTCGCTGTCATATCTATTACAAGATTTGAAGGATCGTTTAAAAACTAAGGCAAAGGCATTTAAAAATGAAAAATTTTATGGTGATACATTCTAAATGTATACTAAATATTATTTAATTAAGAGAAATTGAAGTTCAATATTGGAATAACTTTTGGACTTTAGAATGTTCTTTATCCTTTATTTAATTACTAATATGCGTCAGCCACTCAAGTCTGGTCAAATTCCCACACAGTAGCCACGTCGTAACCGTGATTCTCTTTCCTGATGTTTTCCGGTAAAGAATATCGTCGTAGCAATCTCAATCGCTTTCTGAGATCTTCGCTCAATCCGTGCCTTCCTGGATCTCCTAGATAAATTCGCGCACCTCGTTCATATGCGTCTTCCAACCAGATCATTAAGGTGTTCGCTATTTCCTCGTCGTACAATAAATCACCCACAAAGATCACGTCGTATAGACCTTCTAATGGTTTTTCTAACAAGTTTTCCCACAACACCTCAATGACTACGTTGTTTAATATCGCATTCATCGCAATAGCTACGCAAGCGACTGAAATCAAAGAAACATGTGTCTATTTTGTTAGTTGTCAACATAAGCTGCTTTTTACATTTTATCGTTAGTATATTTCAATATGATGATAATTTAATTTTAATGGTTTTGATTTTACTTTACGAGAAGTATTTAATGCAATATTGCATAATTTAATTTAAAATTATATTTAATAGCAAATATTGTGCATACGTTTCACTCATTCTTAATATTCTGACTATATTTTTTAAATGTTACATTTTCTATATTTTAATAGAGAATGTAACATTTAAAAATTTTTTCTTAATTTCTCTTTTCTTTTAATTATTGGAATTACTAATAATTCAAAATACACTAATATCACTAATAATTAAATTTGCGAGTAATCAAAAGACATTCTTTCATTCAAGTAACCTGACCGTATCGCGCACGCAATTATCACTATCCTACAACTCTGAGTCATACATTCTATTAATAAATTTGCTCATGAATGTCGCTCACGTTTTTACATCTATTATAGATATTTACTTCATTATTTAGTTTTAATTACAGTTTTCAGAAATGCGAACTTTTTAGAAATTATTGATTAATGGTTGTTATGTAAAAATTATTAATAGATATCTGAATAGATATTTTTTGTTAACGAAAAATGTATTTTGATTTGTTCCTAGGATGTGTTTCTATTACTTTATTTGATATTTTTTTAATTTTGTACAAATTGCTTGAAAAATTACGAATTCGACGTTCTGTAATTTATTTTTTTAATTTTTTTACTATTTTTTGTTTTCTTGATAAGAAATCTTACACACTTATTTAGGACATAACTAATAATACAAATAGAATACGCATCTATTATTATCCATTCTATAATATTATCTAATAATTCGTTCGATAATCGATATGTGCAAAGATCAAATCGTCGAATAATCTTCATCTTTGCGGTTGAATGCCACCACGAACAGAGATATAATCAGGAAAAAGTGAAATTCTCGAACGCTGATAGTATCTATTATATTATGTCATTGAGTTTTTGTCGCTTATGGCGATTGATTTGCTCGTGGACATTGGAACGGAGACCGCACGCGTCTTTGTGCCGTGTACACAACGTCCTTGACTTATATCGATTTGAACCAAAAGCATGCCAGATTAATATGAAACGCTATGCCAGCCACGAAATAATCACATTCCACGAATTTTAAAGTTTACGAGAAACAAACGATGTCGGAAAGCTTATTTGTATACATTGGATTTCACTAGAAGCACTATTTCTTCCAAATGTAAGCAAAGAAAAATCTAGCAGAAAATGTTATTAGCGCAACTCGTTTATATTTTCCATTTTTCAGACTAGATTCCAGGATACGTATTCACGATGTTAAAATTTGATTAATATGGTTTATAATGCCGATTATTTATTTTCAATCTCGGCATAGCGCGTCCTTATTAATTGTATCGAGAATTTGTTTCTATAGATTTTAGAGCGAATTCTACGAACCAATAATATTCAATTTTTCCTTCGTCTGTTAGAAAGTACGATTCATCGTTTGGCATGCTACACAGATGCAGTACCAGGAATCGACAGCCTTTCTCTGACGCACGAGAGGCAATTCCTTCCTCTTTGTGCCTGCGTAAAATCCTGGGGAAACCCGTTCTGTGTCCCACCTTCTTCCACCTTTCTTCACCTGCTTAATTTTCAAGACGTGAGTTTTTCATTCGAAGCATCAATATTGATCATGTAAATTTTTTCAAGTTATTACTCAATTAAAAATTTTAATCCTGAACTCTCTGCGAAGAATATAATAAGGGGGAATAATGCCATTGATGAATAGTAATAGGAAACTGCCAGACTTGCAAGTATTATGCGAGTTATTCTATTTGTTCTAACGCGCAATAGTTGCGGCGTTACATCAAGAATTAACGACGTGTCAACGACTTTCATGATAACCGATGGGAGCTCAATCAGCGAAGAAACACGCAGAAGACACGTCAGAAGGGAGGATCTCTGGCGCGAGGCAGTCATTGATAGAAACGCTCTCGAGGGCATTAATTCTACGTACTGTGCGCAGTACGAAACGCGACAGTTACTATCAGCCACTTATCAGCACTGTTTTGGTCGCTCCGTGCAACACGATCGTACAAAGGCATGGCAGGCACGCGAACGACGAAACGGGCGGATACGTTTGGATGCAATTTTTTTTTTTAGTCATGCCCATGGAATCCGGTCTTATCTGCGTATGGATTCGTACCAATTATCGGTGTCGCTGTGTACGCACATCTATTTATCGACAGATAAACCCATACAGAGATAGAGTGACGTCAAAGGGAATCTTTCGAGTCTTCCCTTTGAATTCTCAGTCGCTTGTTTTTCTTTTAGCTACTAACATTCTTCAGATCAATGGTGTAACGTGTAACTTATGAAATCCGAAGGCAATTGGATATTCCCGTCGCGAGGGAATTCCCGTCAGAGACTTCTTAGGAAAGAGGAAAATTTCACAGTAACTTTATGGGTACTGAACTTACTTAGGTATTTTACTCTAGATACTGAAAAGAATTTAATTAACATGGACATATACATGAGAGATGCAAATTTGGCATTCCACTTTTCTCGTTTTTCATAATTTCCTCTTCTTTGGAAACGAGAAGCGCTTTGTTTAAAGCCTATTAGTTAAACTGTTAAACTAGGGTTTGTGTAAAGTGATCCACTTAACATTACGCCATTGGCACGTTTCGTCACCCTCTCAATCTTGGCGCGAGTCGCAATCGAGACAGGCCATTCCCTGAACAACACGGATCTTCTTTCTCCCCTACTTCCTTCACATTCATGGAACTTCACATGAGGTGAAAGTTCTTTTTTCGACGTTTTTTATTATTTCGAGGAAACTGCGAGCAAACGCAATACCGCGTGCATATGCTGTTATATTATGAGCAACATTGATACGCATATTTATCTTGGAAGATTTATGAATTGTCGCAATCGTCTTTTGGTGCAGTTTTTGTACGATTGTTAATGAATCAAACGTCTATTTATCATGTAATATTTATTGATAATGAAACCAGTTTTTCTTTTCAATACTTGTTGCATTATTGTAAAATATTATGGTGTCATATTTTTGCCGTAATGTCAATAATAATTGCGACATCGATGACTCTTAGATTCCTGCACGATCATTCTACTTTTTTCAGATTAATGGGTTTATCTTATTAGAACTCTCTCAACACACATATGGCGTATATCTAGCTGATTATGTTATCAGTTACGTTATCAGTCAAGGGTATTGCAATTACGGCGCGTCGAGTAGAGAAATCGAGTCGGGACTCAAATTCGCGGTTTTATTTTATTCTTATATGTCCTTTGAATAACGTAAATTTACCTTTTTTTAATAAATGTACATTCACGAGACGACAATTATTTTTGAAGTATAACTGATGAGAAACCCAGAGACTCTTAATTATGATCTGAAGATAAAATTTTATTCTATATATTTAAGGAAATATTGTACAGATTTAATTCCGAAGTTATTTATAACATATGTATATTTGCATATATTAATAATTAATATGTGTTTTTAATGTCAACTCGCTTCAAGTTTTTTCAAGAATAGAATTATTATCACCATATACCTTTATTTAAGTTAATAATAATAAAAAATTAATAATTAACTGTTGTATATACCAACCTTTGCTGATGTCATTTGCAACAATCTTACACGTTTCATTCATTAATTTTGCAGCTATCGCCGTAGCGCCGCATCCCGCACCCAAATCCAGTATCCTTATTCCATCTTTTCTCGCATTTTGTGCCATGCTCCCTAAAATTCTTTCCTTTTCGTCCAGAATGAATCTCGTAAGTACTTGGCCTCCAGGCCAGTATATAGACCAAAATGGATCTTGAAATACGTTTCTGGTCAAGAAATCGAATCTTCCATCTGTACTTTTATCAATGAATGGCTCGTGATATAAGGGACAGTTCTCTGTTAGCAGGAATAACTTCAGTTCCGGAGTCAAATGATCGCGAGTCATCTCCGTGTTTCTCAAGATCGTATTCGCTACGTCGTAATGATTCTGAATAAATCTTTTAAGCGACGTTCTGTGGCTATTACGTAGAAAATTGTCCCACGCCTCGTTTGTACTTCTTGAAAATTTTCGTGCGAAAAGTAGTTTCTTTAAACATATGTTTTTCCTGATAATCATCGCTATCTTCGAAACCTAGAAAGAATGGCTAATTATAGACTGTTTGTTACGTGTGGCTTTCAGAAAAGTCTAAAAATATATTCTACATCTGAGAATCAAATCATTTTTACAAAATGACAAAGGGGGAGAGACATGATCATTGATAACTACCGGTTTTCAATAAAGACGCCGATAAGTGATTATCTTTCAAGAAATATATCACAGCATTAATGATTTTGTTTTATTTTATGCTCGCGATAAGATTATCGATTAGTTAAGTTACGTTTAACTTGAGAATCTTAAATACAGAAAATATTTTGTTCGTTATTTATTTCAAAAACTTCTGCGTCTTAATTTCTGGAAATTTTATAATAAAGCGCATTGAAAGCATTTTGAGAAATAAGATAGTAAAAACACTTTTAAAATATTTTACGTTAAATACGAAAATTTCCTCATTATACTCCAATAAGTATGTCAGTTTTGTCAACGTTGCAGTTATTCCCCAGAGAAATTTGCATTTACGCAAACGGCATTCGTAACACGCGAGAGTAATAAGGAAAAACGGCTGCGGACGATAGCAGAATTGTGCTAATTATTAAAATGTTTCCAGTTATATGTCTCGTTTTAAAGTGGATATCTACCAAAGACGTTAATCTATGTCCAAGATATTTGGGATTTCCCCTCGATCCTTCAGTTATAAAATGTTTTATCAGATCAGTTAGAGATACGAAAAAAAAAAACACCTGTTGCTTCTTTGAATGACAAAAATTTTGTTTCCGAGTAAGAAACAGGTGAAAACTTTTAGAAATCCATCTGATTTGTAACTTTTGAGAATTATTTTTCTCTATAACTATTATAATGCTTTTAATTGGCAAATGTCTTTAGAATCCTTCAATATATATCGTTCTATTTAAAGTATCTTTTTAGGAAGAATAGTCTTCCTTCCAGAATGAGAATTAAAAAAACTAGTTAAAACTAGTTAAACAATTATATTTTTATAATTCAGAAATATACGTCCCAAAATTAGTTCTAAAATTGATTTAAATATATTTATTTACACAATATATCCGTACAATATAGCATAATTTATTAACCTTTAAGGATAATTCCCTTCGATGTAATCTCGTTATATCATCGAAATAAGCGCAGTTTATTCCGCAATACGCATTATGCATTCTCTCTCTATTTGTCATGAGTAGCAATATTAGCAAATGCAATTATATTCGTTAATTAACACAAAGAGGATGACCGATGCAATGAAATGGTTACGAAAGCAAACCTTCGGTTTCTGCGATTTTTATACGATCAAAAGAGGCGGTATACGCGGAATTCACATAATCATCTCTTCATATTGCTATATATGCGACTATATTTAGTGTTTGGTTACTCTCCGACGCTTTTAACGTATATCAACGTCTCGTTGTAATATTATTTTTTACATTTCTTTTTTTAAATGCTTGATAATGTACGTTTTTATTATTATTTTAGTAATATGTTCTTTCTGCAGGAAATAAATCTTAACAAATTATTTTGTTGCGTTTAGAAAATATTGATTTACTGAAAATATTGATTTTATTTTATTCTAAATTATGTATAATTTTTTAGGCGACAAAATCGGATTGTGCGGAAAATTAATAATGCCGTGTGGCACATTCATCATAAAGTTCCCCGCTCGATGTGTATTTTTCCAGGTGGATTTAATCCTTCGTTTCCATTATCGCGGAAATTAAACGGCTGATGAAATATACACATCGATGGAACAAAGCATCCGTGACTTGCATCATCTTCGCAAAGCGTATATATACGTACCATTAATATAACGCGACGTACGTATAATCGATTCGAAGATGATACGCGTAGTCGTCGCGGATCGTCTATCAAAATGAAGTTTATTGACCGATATAGTCGCGCGCAACAGTCGATGAACATGGCTGTTCCTGGTCAGGTGTTTGCGGATGATGAAACGAGATATTGATATTGGATGTCTGTATGATGCAAAAGGCAAGAGTTTTCGCGGCCTCGCTTATAACTCTTTTCAAATGCACTCACGAAGTCATTCGGAGTTACTTTAACGAGCAATTAAATTACGAAAGTGTATTAAAATGCTCTGGACCTATTTTCAGACTTGGGTTTTTTCTTGCGATGAATTTTCCAGTTCTCGATGAACTTCGCTAGAAGGCAATGTCATCATGACGATTTACATACAAATAACGCACGTGTCGTGAATCGAAGAAGTTGGACGTAACGATGAGATCGCTAGATAATCCGTATAAATTGATGTGAAGCGTCACCCTCGACCTGAACGCTGTCTCTCGTCGTCGGTGAAAATTGTTTGCGCTGCTACTAAGTAATTATGTTTTCTAACACGGCTGGTTCTCGGTAGATTCCGGTGGAATTTTTATTCCGCTGAAAGTTTAACGCGTATAATTAATTGCGTCATTTAAATTTGTTTGGACGTAATTTTTTTATTGATATATGGAGCGATATTCCCGTCAATATTAATAAATATTTATTATTCGTTGAACCATCGGGATTAACGCTGTGACTTTTCCACTACAAATATTTATAGTTAAAACTGTGAGGCAAAAAGCGACATTCATATTCATATAATGTTCTTATGCAATTCTCTGTGAGAGAAACATGATGAGACATCAATAATACGGTCAACGGGCAGGCTCGTTCTGTTTTGTTTTGATTACTCTTTGATTAATGTTGCAAATTTCGCGAACTCCGAGTCGCAATGAATATGGAATAATAACGGGAAATTTAGATTCAACTGTAAAGATATCTTTTTATTTACTGAAGCTCTACCATATCTTAATCGGAGAATAATTAGTTATACAAGGAACATATACAAAAACAGGGAAGGCTATTTTTCTCACAAACTTACCTTGAACTTATGTTCAACCGATGTTTCAGCGAATCGCTTAAAAGCTACATACGCAAACATGCGCAAAAATCGACACTACATCTATATATATTTATCGATCAGCAAATAATACGATATGTTCCAGTGGCGTTAAGCTGAATCATACATACGAGACTCTATGAATCAGTTTATTTTCATATCGGCGCTCTGGTATTTGCCATTGTTAATTATCTTGGGATTCCTCGGCAGATAAAATTATTCCTTCTTTATTGCTCACAATTTTAATTTTTGTGACATATTTATACAGGGTGTTCCAGATCAGTCAATAAAATTTCAGGATCTTATAGGAAATTGAATTTGGAACAAAAAAGTTCCTATAAGTATAGGTCCGCATAGGAAACGCTTCATTAAAAAGTTATAGCTAATAAAAATTTAAAAAATCACGGTTTTTTTTATTTAAAAAAATTACTCCCTACTAATTATTACACTAAAGCGAACGCTACGAATGTAGTATTTATACAAAGATCATCAAAAGGTTTTTTCAAGTTTCTGCTTTTTTCGTTGTTTTGAGCTTATTTTCTTTTGAACGCCTTATCAGAATTAAATGAGATTGGTGTAATTTAGTTTATTTACTAGCTGGTTACCCGGGCTTCGTCCGGGAGTCGTTTTTCTTCAAACGACTTCATTTGTGTTTTAATATCCTTAATCGAAAAATATTCCTTTATCAGTTCGGATACCAATTCCCAAAAAAATCGGTAACGAAAAACTATACAGTTTATGGCACTCTCTGGGAAATTCTACCCCTATTTTGTATACAATTTTTTAAGATTCGGTCAATTATTTCCCGAAAAATTGGAAAAATTTCGGATACCGGTTCTCAAAAAAATCGGTAACGAAAAACTATACACTCTATAACACTCCCCGGAAAATTCTACCCCTATTTTATATACTTTTGGTAAAAATTCGGTCGAATAGTTTAAGAGTGTATAAAGAACATACATACATACATACATACAGACATTCTATTTTATATATATAGATTATTTAATTGCCACCAGATTTATTTAATTACTTTTTTCAAATAAATGAAAGGTTTTTTTGAAGGGTTATTTTTAAAGATCATCAATAAAATGTGATTTTTCGAAATTTAATAGCTATAACTTTTCAACAAAGCGTTTCCGGACCTGTGTTTTCGAAACTTTTTTGTTCCAAATTTAATTTCCTATAAGACCTTGAAGTTTTATTGACCTGGAACACCCTGTACATGTGTTTCTTTTTACAATTCCCATATAAGTTTCACAACTTATTGTCCAATTCTAATCTCATATGAATGTTGATCGTTGCCTTTTAACTGGAATTGTTTACCTAATTCTGTTTTTGTTACTTCGAGATAAGATCCTGACTTCGCACGTGTTTGCATGAAATTGTTCTTATTACGAAATGCATTTTTGTTATTCTTTGGTTGTGAGAAAAATTTTTCATATAAAAACGTATGTAAATATGTTTTTATATATAAATTTTATATATAAAATGTTTTATATAACATGCAAATATATATGTTTTTATATATATATAAAGCAGAATTATGTATATATAAAATATGTTCATATGTTTTCTTTTTCTTGTATAATTTTGGTTCTTATATACAGGAAAAAATAATAAGAAAAAAAATAAAAAACAATTGAGAGAATAATTTTCATATTTTGTAAGCTGAGTACAGAGAGAAGAGAGAAATACCTCTATAATTTCCAACAATGTTTTCGTCGCCTCTTTTATGTAGATTGTAGCGGAACTATAATAGAGGTTCTCCAGTCCTCTGGTAAAATTCCTATCTAATAATTTTCATATTTATTTTTTAAATAAAAAATGAGTTTGAGAAAATTAAGAAAAATTGCCCACACACATGGTGATATAAATGTAGAAATAATCGTATATACACATAAAATGATTATATATAAAATATTATATAATCTAATCGCAATTTTACTTTTTGTTAAAAAAAATAATGCAAAAAATTCTCTTAATTGTTTTTTAATTCTTATTACTTTTTTCTGTACACAAGAACAGAGATTATACAAGAGAAAGAAAATATATACTTATACACATTTTATATACTTTTTATATGAAAAATATTTTATTGTTTTAATTATTCATCTTTTTTCGTCAATTCCTTTTTTCTGTCTTGTATTCTCTGCAGAGAACTTGCGTTCTAGGATACGAAAGTGATTGCTATTCTACTCTCTCCGGGAAATTCGGTGCCCAGGATCTAACTCGGTTAGAGCGAGTCTCTCTCTCTCTCTCTTTCTATCCGCGCGACCTTTTTCCTTGGGTTTCCCGGTAAAGTCCGCCGCGCCGGGTGTGCGTATCGATAAAAAGCTCCGTTATGTACATACCCAAGCGATGGAATACCCGTGAAACCGTGGAGGGGACGGCGGTGACGAGTTAGCGCCGGTAGTGGGAGAGCGATTTCTATAAAAGCCGCCTGCGCCACGCTTGCGAGGTCATACCGTCTTGGTGAGAGAAGAACCTCTTGAGCAGAGCCGCTCGAAGAGCTCATCTGCAAGAGAACGTTACGCGAGTGTTGCGCGAGTTTGCGTCAGAGCGAAGTTGAGTGAAAGCGGAGAAAAGGAAAACACCGCGGGCAACTAGGAAGTGATTCGGTAGCCGGCTCCAGCTCCAGCTTGCCAAAGTCAGTCGACGACAGCGCCGAAAATTCGTCCCACGGACCTTTCCGAGCCCACGAGAATTCCCACGTTCAGTGAAGTGTGCAAGCGAGGCGCATTGAGGCTCGAACCGACAGACGAGGATATACCCACAGATATGACTCGCTGCCAGCCGCAATCCTACCACGCGCAGACCACGATGACCGACAGGTAGCTATCGCGCGCAAAAAAAAAGAGTACTCTCGGTGCACGGGATTTCCACGTGGCTCGCACGCACACTCGAAGGAGTAGCATGACTTGGCCGTGGTTCTCTCAGCGGTGATAAAGAAATGCTTGGTCACGACGAGGTAACGTCGATCTATCTCCGATCTCTCTTCTTTCGTTTCTTCTGATGTGAGAAATTGTAGTTTCACGTTGTGCAATAATAAATCTTACCTTGCATATTTCCGTATCTTTGACATTGCAGAAATTATTTATTTTATCGGAGATAATAATAAGATTCTTGAGAGAAATACAAATATCTCGCTTCTTATCTTTTGACTCCGCAGAAATTACTATCCGTTATCGGAAGCTTGCAGAAGAATATTTTGAAACTTTTTAACATCTTTGACACGGTAAAAATTGTCCTCGCCAATTGCCGGAGCGACTCGAAAGTTACGAGCGTCTCGAAACGCTCCGCGTCTTCCGCGTATAAGCGTATAAATTGTCGCGTCACACAGCGATTCCGTGAAACTCGTTGTGGCAATTCCAAGTATTTGCTCTACACTGTCGCGCGCCGGCTTACGTAACGGACCGATGCGCAAATGATTGATCGAGAATGACTTACAGCGGGAAATCGTCGTGGTGCGAGGAGTCGCGCTGCTACGGGAGCACCGTCACCTGCGGCATGCTGCCGACCCTTCGAGAGCTGGCTTCCAGAGGGTGCAACAGCCGGGGCAGCGTCTGCCTGGTGCCCTACGACGTCGAGATGGACGCGGCCAGCCACCTTCAGATGACCCTGCTCGAGGCTTATTGCCGGGAGATCGGGATCCAGGTGCTGAGCGTGTCCAAGGAGACGATACAGCTCCACTTGTGCCCGGGAGGCACGGACCTATCGTGCGTCCTGATAAGCAACGACGATTCATATTTTCCTAAGCTGCCTAAGTTGCCGAAGTGACACTCAAAGACTGGTCCTTGAGAGCTGAAACTAAAGGACCGGATTACGTGCGGTCTTACACAAGCCGAAGCCATTTGCTGAGGTCCCTGCGTCGGAGAGATTCTCCACGCGAAGGATCAGGGGGAGTTTCGACTCGGCAAGCAACGTGTCCTGTGTGCCTCGCCAACGAGGCTGCTAATAATGGACAGTTTATATTGAAATGTAAATATATGTAAGCGAGATTTATTCTATCCATCTCGCCAAGTCCGTGAGTTTTTAGCTGCTGCTTGAAAACACTTTCCGTACTCTCCTTCAATTCTTCTCTTTCTTTTCTCTCCACCGACACACGAGTACTTATTTCTACTCGAATGCAGAAAGTGTGAAGCGAAGCAGCTGATCAGGAGGGCAGATCTGTTAATTGCTAGAACAACGATTGCGATCAGACGAGTGGTGTTTCTTTCGGAATCACTCGCTCGGTGGTCGTAGGATATGAAATATTGATTAGCGTATGCGACGTATATATCTATCAATTGTATACACGTTTGTCACAAGACAAACTGATCTTTGTTATGTATGCTTTATAAACATCGACAGCTGATGTCGAAAAACAATGTAAATGTATAACATCGCCATTGATAATATTATATGATATATGTATAAGAAGAACACACAAAAGGCTTTTTTATTTCCCATACATATCTTTTACATCTTATTCTATCTCTATCTATACGAAATCGTATAATTCGTGCTCGCTTAATTCATAAAAATTTTTCCCGTAGCTTGCAAGATACTTAAAGAACTCCAATATCACTTCCATGGAGGAATTAAAAATCCTGAACGTGACGTGAGTAGAGGTACACATTCGAGGATAAAACGTAACAGTTATATGCAAAATATCAAAACGGATCGCGTCTGAAATTATTTTTGTATAAAGTACTTTGGATCAGTTATTCCTTTCCTCTCTCTTGCTAATAAATTAGAATACACTTTGTTTTGAAGTAACGTACTGAAGAAATAAATATACCTTTTTTTTTTTTTTTTTGCGAGAAATATCCTTTACGCTCAGTCGCTGTTTTACTGTATGCCGTTTCCTTCAACAGACCAACGGCCGAAGTTACTTTTCATTTTTTCGGGCATTCCGACGACGGTGATAAAATTCGCGAGTCCCTCAATCGACTCGTGCAGCGTCGACGTCTCAGTGAAATTGCGTTGGAGTCCACGCACTTCACCTTCCAACAAAAGCCCGCGCTTAAGTTACAGGTAATTCATATAAGTATATAGGTAACATTATACAATAATAGCTTTTTATTTCAACCAAACTGGCTATCTTTATTTAATATAATTTTCACGACGTGACAAGTTAAGGAGATCTTTTGGTCTAACCAACTTAAATTCAGCTTTCATGACTTAGATAGATTCAGACTTGAAAAGGACCAAAATCAATCGAAACGTCGCGTCGCGGCGTCGTGACAATTATATTAACCCTTAACGGTCACACTATGGGGTCTACACCCCAACGTTTATTTTGACTTCGAAAACGACCCAGTAAACCAATGGAAATGGGCCTTGTGCCGCTATCTACAGGTAGTTGGGACCTTCCAAGTATCGATCCCCGTCGGTGGTATATTTTTCGGCCCGTTAGTTCTCTCTCGGCATTTTTTTCTGCAAAAAATCGCACCTTTATACCTCAAAATCAACACACTTTTTGGAACGGCCGCATAAACTGCAATAATGAGTGAAAAGTGCGTCATCTGAGGATGAAAAAACCGTTTGAAAAATTAAAATATCTTAAAAATTGAAAAAGTTACATTAGTTTTTGTGAAAAGTCACTTTTCCGACTTTTTGTTCAACAATTTTTTTACATATGTTAAATTAATTTTTTGCAAATCAAACCTATACAGTCTTTTTAAGGAAGACTTAAACTACAACAGGATATTTTTTTTTTCTTTAAGGTCACCTACAATTTTTTATACACGTGCAAACACGCTGGGGGTGTATTTCACCCAGTGTGACCGGTACGGGATTCTCGGGAAGTGTGACCGAAAAGGGTTAAGTAAAGATAGCCAGTTTGGTCAAATTAAAAAGTCATTGTTAGTTATTTACTGGCTCGTGTTTGATTTTAGTAACATATGTACATTTGAACATTAACGCGTTAAAGCAGAACAGAATCATATACATTATTATATATTAGAGTTATTCGAGATTTGAATGATATTGAAGATCATTCTCCGCCTTCTCTCTAATTCCTCTAAAGAAGTCGAAGATTTAAGTTGGAGTTAAAAATCTCAGTTAACAAAAACAAAACTAACGTTTTTGAAAGTGTGATTAATTGCGGTATAACTGAAAAACGCTAAAAAACCTCGCGTTTCAGAGTCTCCGTATTAATCAAGTAAACGATTACGAGGTTCACTTGGGAGAGCAAATCGTTTTGTCGTGCGCTGCTCAAGGAAGCTACAGCATAGATTTCATCTGGTACAAAGATAGCATGTTGGTGAATATGAGTAAAGCTGTCAGGTAATCCAACTATCGGCAGTTCAAGAGTTTACATTACAATATCGTAAAGCAACAGTTAAAGTAACAATATTAAGATATATATAATTTGTATATACTTCATTCTTCGTGAGTATGATTTTCTCGGTTTGTGCATCTCGATCATTTTGCCATTTTAGAGAAATTCGAATTAATCGTATGCCGAATGATGGATCGGATGTATACACGTCGGTGCTGACGATCGACAAGGCGACTCTGCTCGACGCCGGTCAATATACGTGTCAGGTAGTTGACTGGGGTGTGCAGCAATGCAAAGGTATCTACATCGAGGTCAGGGATGAGCCGGACGTGAAGGTGGTGCCGATGAGCGCCACTATAGAGAAAGTAAGTCGCAAATAGATTCGTTCGATGCGTGAATAATTAAAATTTGTTGAAAAGAAGACATCATATATAATAATATATGATGTCTATATTAATTACATATCACATATATTTATTCTCAGACGATTATTCGCAGGGCAATGATATACAGCTGACCTGCATGACTCCCAACATGCGTAACATCGGGATCGGATTCGGTTGGACGAAGAATCGCGCCTTGCTCAAACTGGAGCCCGGTCGAGCGGTTTGGGAGGATCTGTATCCAGCGGGTAGCATTCTAAAGATCACTAACACTCAGGTAGCAAGCGCCGTCCACGTTGATTTCTTTATTCGATTAACTATGAGGATTTCAATTCGAAATAACGCATAATCTTTCCTCTTTCTATTAAAGTTAACTTGCTCCTAGAATTAAGAAACATTAAGAAGACTTACAATTAGTGGGTAAACTTGATACAAAGCGGCCTGTTTGGCATTTTAGAAATCGGCAATTTACACCTGCAACGTAGCGCACAAGTCCATGTCCGTGCGAGTCGAAGTCATGAATCGAACATTGATACCGATATGCTTCAAAGTGAAGTCTTGGGGTTTGCAATGGCCGGACACTGCACCTGGATCAGAGGCGTTGCTAGAGTGTCCTCGGTATTTCGTAGGCCGACGAGTGTCCAGGCTTTGCTCGATGAAAGACGCTACCACACCCGAATGGCAAATACCTGATTTTTCGTCCTGCTTATACGAACCGTTGATTTTACCGTATAATAATGTGAGTATTTTGTTCTCTTTAATACTTTGTAATCGATTTGATTCGCAAGGAGCTGCGATGACCCATTTAGAATCCATTAAAATGGTTTTCTTTAATATGATACATGGAACATCTTTGCATAGATACAAATTGTGATAGAACAAACTAGCGCGTGTAATAGTTAAAAAGCGTAGCAGTATTTTTTACTATTTAGTCACTAATTAGGTTTTAATATTTATTATTAAATATATATAGGAATTTAAAAATATTTGATATAAAATAAAACGGAAAACTTTAGTGAAAATGTTAGCTTTTTAACGAACAGTGAGTTTTATTTATCACAATTGATTAAAAATATTTCGAATTTATTATCAAGGCATGTCCAATGTTGTGAAATTGATTTAATCTGTGCAGTTTCGAAGTCTGACATTGGGTTACCAGAAAACCACGAGTTTGGACACGATCCTCGCCTTTAGGGAGATCTTGCGCAAACGTACACTGCCGCTCTATCCTGGCGAAGGCGATCGTATAATGAGCATGTTGGCAGAAATCGAACGTTATCAGCACAGTATCGATCCACAAGATGCATACACGTCCGCGGAGGCTTTGACTCACATAATAAATCGCATACTGGACGATGAATACTCAATCTTGAGTCAAGAGGTAAAGATCTAGACACAATGTAGGAATGAGGGCTAGTTTTGAACAAGAAGCAAATTCAAATAACAGCGTTTTTGGCTCAGTTTCAAACATTTCGCAAACAAAAGTTGCACTAACTACGGAGTACCTATACGTTGTTTACATAACATTGTTTACAGTCTTGTTGAAAAAAATTACAATTTATTCAAAAAATTTATGAAAGATATTGTTATTTAAAACTATTTCATATATCCAAAACTATACTCTCTTCTTCTCTACACATATCGCTGAGCTAAATTATAATTTCTAAATCATCTATTTTTAGAAACTATCGATGTTGCTTCAGCTTACGCAACGCAATTTAATCCACTGGTCCAAACAGCTGAAAGATGTATATAAACATCTGTCTCTATCGTCCATGGTTGTAGATATTCAGCAACTGCAATCTCAAAGTGGAGACAGTATAACGCATTCCCTTCAAATACCTTCGTCCGATTATATGTAATTCCTTTTAATCTATTATGTAATTGATTTTCTTTTTTCACCGAAATCTTCTTTCAAAATAATATATTCTTCTACAGATGCTGAAAAAGTATGTGGATAAACTCGATGGGGGGGGGGGAGTCCTAGATGATCAACTTTTTTCCAGGAAAAAATGGTCAGAAAAGCTTCCTTCAAATTCTAAAGGATGGTGAAGAATGTGGAATGCTGAGTTTGTGCAAAAATGAAGAGACATGTAATTTACAAATCACCAATAAAATATGTTTTGTGGATTACATGCTTCTTTATTTTTGCACAAATTTACTTTTCCACATTCTTCATTATTCCTTAGAATCTAAAAGAGGTATTTCTGACCTCTCCTGTTCATCTTGTTCTCCTGGACTCCCCTACCAAATTTATCTACATAATTTTTTAGCACCTTGTATACTTATATGCGTTCGAAATTATGTCCAAATTAGTTTTCACGTTTTTATATAAATGATTACTTATTTATGACAGATATCCTGATTGGTACGAAGACAAAGTAGCTATAAGATTATGGAAGAAGAAGCAGCGCAATGTAAAATCTAATAACACATTTACCGGAATAGTTATCGTGTACAAAAACATGTCGCGATTTATACCAACAGCATACGTTAAGGAACTCGAGTAAGTTAATTTATTTAAGAAGAGATCGAACAATAGGCAATAAGCTGTGTAAAACAATGAGGCAATAAGCTTGCCTCTTTTTATGAATCCGATGAATTTATTGAAAAAACAACAAAGCTAAAACAAAGAATTTAAAAAAATATATAAAAAGAGAAATTTCCATAATTATATAAAATTTATCTTCTCAGCTTGTTAAAATATATAAATTAAAATTTTATCTTTGTAGTGACGGTACAGACTTAGAATTTCGCATCAATTCTCGAGTGATTGCTATCGCGGTGCCCTCCTTTGGCGCTGATAAATATAACAAGATATGGGTTGATCTGCAAATACGGCATTTACAAAATCAGACGAGCTCCTGGAACACGTCCTGCGGCCTGATAGATAACACTGGATCGTGGGATCTCAATACTTGCATAGCAAATACAGTGTCCGGCGATGTGATGACGCATTGTTTGTGCCCTACTACGGGGACAATAGCTGTTTTCTTGACGACCCGCGCAGTAAAAGTACATATTCTTCAATTAAATTTTTTTTACGTTATTTTATCACTTCTGAAATGCATATTCCAGAATTTTTCGGTGGAAGAATTTATTTACACAAATTTTTCTATAATGAGCGGAGAGTCACGTCGTTTATTGGTTTTTCGAATGTTGTAGGTAGTGCTGGCGAAAACAGAGCAGACCACGTTTATCATAATATTCGGATGCAGTAGTTGCCTCATTCAGTGCTTGCTGTCTGCTTTGATACTAGGTGCTTTTTGGTGGAAGCACAAAAGCTGGCTGAATTTTCTAAAACTCCAGTGCTGCGGTGCATTGATAGGCGCGATGGCCATCTTTATTTACGCCGTCCACACTAATCTTCCGGAAGTAATTATATATACCTTCGTTTAAATACTTAGAACATTAACTCTCATAATTTAAAATTATTTTAGCTCTGATATTCTATTATGAAGTAAATCCTACGATCGATCCAACTGGCCAAATTTATTGATAAATATTACGACGTTTCGACCATGGATTTTGGTCCTCATCAAGCATTTAATAATAACTCACAAAAATCTTAATTAGCATGACATTGTGCCCAAATTACGCCAGTTTAAAAGATATAATTTGTGTGTCATCAAAGTAAAATTAAACTTGTATATTGACATAATAGATGATTTAAAGTTGGAAATAATATTAATAAGCATGTCAGAACTATGTGATGGTAAAAGTTGGACTTTTATCATCATACTGACGTACTTATTAATATTATTTCCAACTTTAAATTATCTAATTATGTTAACATACAAGTTTAATTTTACTTCGATGACGTACAAATTATCTTTTAGACTGGCGTAATTTGAACATAATTTCATGCTAATTAAAATTTTTGTGAATTATTATTAAATGCTTGATAAGCACCAAATTCATGCTTGGCCAGTTGCGTCGATTAGAAGCTACCTACGTTAATTATTTAATTTTCTGCTAGCGAAGAAAAGTCATTATTTGTTTAAATTTTAAATCTTACGAAATGTGTACAGTTGTCATCTTGCTATAGACTTAGCATAGACTGTTTTGGATGTAATATTGTATATTTGAGGGTTTTATGAATTATAAATTTGATCCAGGTGATTTTTGAACATTCTTTTGTTAATTCCTCACTATTTCAGTCATCTTACTCGCTCGTGGCAATAGGATTAGAGGCGTTCCTCCTCGTGGGCATGTCCGCGCCTATTTCCGAAGCTCTAATAGTATATGCCGAGCTCACACAAATTCGACCGAGCCAACATCTCCAGCCGACGGTGATCGCCGTGATAACTGGTACGCTTTCGATCTAAATGACCTTGCAGATAGCGGAGAGTGTGAAGTGTCATCTTGTAATGTCTTGCATGTTTCTCAGGGGTCCCGATCTTAGCTGTATTTGCAACCGAATTAACGCATAAGAGTACCGGATTGCGGCACGAATCCTGGTGGCTCATATATGGCAGCGGCGTCTACAACATATTTGTCAGCTGCGCTACAATGATGTTTTTAGTATTCATGCTGCTGTACATGGGGGTGCTCCACAAGGTCCACACATTAGTGGAAGAGAACGTGATGAAGAGAGAAGCTATAGAAGCGAGGTAGGTGCGGATTCGCTCTGTAAGATTTGTGGCCCTTTTACAAACCGTCCGATTGTCTTTTTGCTACAGAATACGAATACTGCACCGTGCGGCTATCGTCATATGCGGCATCGTCGCCATGGAGGCATCCTCTATTTTCTATATAAATTCATCATCCGTTATTTTCCACTACGTATTTGCGTCCTTATCTTTCGCCCTGGTGAGTTTCCTCGCAAACAACAGCCGCCCCAGTAAGCAAAATGATAGCAGTCTGTCGGCAGATTGGTAACAGATTTAATCAGACATGTCAGCAGACTGACATCAACTGCGTCCGCATTCAGTTTATATTTTGCTAGCAGAGTCTGTTAGTCTGTTAACCCTTAAATGCCACACTTCTCAAGAATCTCGTAAATAACACATGGGGTCTAAAAGACCCCAGCATGAAAAATGTTTCCTTACTTATTGATTTTTTGATATTTAGTTATGAAAATTATGTTCAATGTTGTTCAAGGCTTAGAAAAGAGAATAAAATGCTTATATTGTTAAAATTTCAATTTTAACATAGTATAAAAAATTAAGTAAACTGAGTACTGCTAAGTGTACAACCGGGTAGGTCCATCACTCAACTATCATCAATGGGAGCATGAGCTCCATTTTTGGGGAGAACATTTGAAAATATATCATTCTAAAGGGTCTGGGGTCCGCTGGACCCCGGGTGGCATTTAAGGGTTAACATAATCAGACAGCAGATTAGCGGCAGAAACCGCGCAGAACATGGACGGTTTCTGCAGAGTTTCCTCGATTTCTGCCGCCAATCTACTGTCTGATTATATTAGCGGTCTCTGTTATACTCCTGTTTGCGTTCTGCCGACATCATGTGATATATCAGAATCGGCATCAAATCTGTAGTCTTTCTGCCGACAAACTTTTTAGCAGATACTTTGTAAGATCTGCTTTCGATAGATTTGACTGTCTGGGGTATTGACAAACAGTAGATAATAAATATATTAAAATTATTCGCTAATTATCGATGCGCGCAGGGCTTCAGTATAATAATCGTATACATCGTTAACGGCGAGAGTGCGATTATCGGGCCAATGCTGCGGAGAATCAAGTGGAAACGCAACGTAGACGAAGAACACACGTCGGAACCCATCAAAGGTATCGTAAACTTAATCTGCTTAAGGTAGTATGTCACTCATTTTAGTTAGTGTATTATGATGTCAAAAATAAGGACATTTTTTTTTTAATGATTATGAAAGTGCCAGACTACTGGCACGACGAAAATGCTAACATTCGTGCTACGTTCGTTAGTGTGTTCGAAAGCTGACGCTGAAGTGGAGAACGACTCAGCGACTCCCCCGGCGTCGTCCTCGATCGTCGGCGAGCCATATCGGGAGGTGCGAGGTGTTGCCGCGGGTAGCATAGACATGCGTGACTTCGTGTCCGAGTCCTCGTCCGCCTACGCCAAGTCCTCCGTCCCCACGGTCAGCAGATTTCTGCCGGAGATCCGGATAGATCATTCGGACAACATCGACCTCGAGAACTACAGCACGAGCCCGCGCAAGTATCAGGAACCCCCGGTATTTGTCGACCCGGCGTTTCCGACGCGCGGCACCCGCGTCAACGAGGCGGTGGCCTACGGCGTGAACGAGCGCGGCGGCTTCCGCGGCGACGTGTCGGGCAAGTATCGCGGGGACGGCAAGATCTTCCTGCCGGCGACCAGCGTGTCCCCGGAAGCTTCGGCCAAGGTCCTCTGCAGCGCCGACGTGGAGTCGCGATTGGGCGCGATGCCGGACGTCACGCTGGCCGTGAAGAGCGACGTCGAGCTATCGTCGCGATCGAGCGCGGAGCTGAAGAGCCGGGAGCACGTGGTGAGCGCCATGCCGGACATCGCCAACACGAGCGAGCGCAAGCAGCCCGACGGCGAGGAGAAGACACCGGAGATCGTGGTGACGGCGGGCGGCTGCGACAGCGCGACCAACGGCATGCTGGACCGTATCTCTCACGACCTCGATTATCTGCTTAATCGCACGCACGCCAACGAGGGAGCTTGAAATCTGTCAAGCTCGCGAGAAAGTATATTTGCGACAGACGCGTCAACAGACGTAGGTTGTTAAATTTGTACAAAACGGATTTCGCCACAAATTTCCACATTAATAAGCGAATCGCAGATCATTTCGTATCGTACTTGTATCGTAGTTTATCTAGGATAATGCTCGTCGATATGGCGTTTTTCGCTATGTAACGGAGACTATATGATAACGCGATGTTGCTCATTTGCTACAACATAACTCAAAAAGTTACTTGCCAATGATGAGAATTTAATACACTAAATGAAAATATATAGTCAGATATTTTTATTCTTTTTTACAATTAGTTATTACACTAAAATCCCATTTTAAAATAATATTACAAAATTTTAACGATTTAAATTTAAAACCATCTCATCTGGAAAACTTTATTTTTTGAGTTACGTCATTATTGCAGCAAATGAACGATACAGTCGTATTAGGAGCTGCAAACCAAAATCTCTAAAGTACATATATACATATAATCCTTTCTTATTTCTTATACTCTCGCATGTGTTCGAGACCGGAGCGTCAGACCAATTGTAATCTGATCGCTGATAATTGAATCGGCAATAGTCGTAAAAGTCGATGTGACAAGTGATCATCATCGCACTCCATCCACATCAGAAAATTTACCTTAAATCTCGAAATTTTCACGCTTTATTATAGACACTTGTATTTACGTCCATTGTATATCGTGAGGAGACCTACCGTACGAATAAATGAATAGAACGCTGAGAAATCAACTGCGTGAGAATTCGATTCGTGTACGATTTGTACAGATTTTTCAGAAGGTGAGAGTACTCAAGTCGATAGCGTTTCCGAGTTAAAGTATTTATTTATCACTGTCATCGTACAGCCCTTTCATAATATCCACGAGTCAGTCGTCGCGCTTTTTTTTCGTCGTTTATAATTTGTATTATAAAGCTATACACATTCAATTTAGTTTGATAATCTACTTACATACTTAAGATCGAAGTTTATGTTGTTGTAGGTAATAGATACCTCTAGTAGGGTTAGTCGTTTACTCGATGAGAAATGCTTCACTGAAATTGATTCGACCGAGGTATGAAATTGGAGCAGTATCTCTCTCTTGGCCAAGCACGTGTTATAAATGCAAAAGACGTAATAAGATCTGTGTTAGTCTGTTAGCACTCGAATATACCTATATGACTAGTTTTCTGTGTCAACAGATTTTTTTCTTAAAAATATAAAATATTTACAAGGATTTTCTAATTTTATCGAGATTTAATAATCTTAGTTTAATCACATCAATAATACCCAAGTATAGAGTAGGGCCGTGGCTTTATCCGATTACTACCAAATTACACTATTATTGAGCCAATATTACATCGCATTCTTGTCTATAGAACTAAAAGTAAAATGAACAAGCACGCTGCTATACTTTCTCTCGCGAATAATCATATTCGCTCACTTCTAGGCAAGGCTTTACAATAGATTGAGTATTTTGATGAAAGTAATAAGAGCGGTGAGAGATCGAATGATTTGTCCGGAAGAAAAACCAAGAATCCATACAATATTAATGGATTTTATAACAGCTGTACAATGAAGAGATAGTCTTTTTTTTTTCTTACACATAATTGAATCCAATTCTTGTCGATTTGTACGCACACGAAATAAACTTTATGATATACATTGTCATGTCGAAAAGCATGATGTACAATTTCGGCGTATTAATTTTCATCGTTTAACTCTAAGAGACATTATAAGAAACGCGATACATGACGAGCTCTCGTAACTGTATCCCGGATAGGTAGATTACGACAGGTAAGTATCAAATCGTACGTAGCTTCGTATAAATATGAATCAATATCCAGCAAACCTCTAACTATCCTCTTAATTATACAATCACAAGTATTTTGGTCTTTTTACATTAGGTTTATACATTCTTTCTCGCAATTTATCGCATACCCATATATAACGATATAACAGGAGATGTAATGTATAACATAAAAGCTCTAGAATATAGAGGACCAACGAAATTCGACAACGGAAGTATTAATTGGATAGCCTAAATACGAAAGTAAATATGCTAAGCGGTTTCCTAATTTGCAGTCGTATTCAGCTTAGAGGTGGCAGCCACGGCACCCTCCCATCTTTACTTCCATTCCTCTCCTTTCCGTTTTACTTAAATATAAAAATACATAGCCAGTCTATACATAAAGCGTGCAAAGTGGCACAGTGAACTGAGTTATCAGACGTCCTGGATGGTTAACTACCGCTCTCGCTGATTGTCGGCGGTTCTGCATCATCGTGAAGTTTACTCGTTTTGTTACTTGACACAGGTATACCTGAGGTTTTTGGCAGCAGGTTAGTTGCATTATCACTATTGGATGTTGTGGCATTGCACACGGAATTGTCAAAGTGTTGCAGACATGGAAATTCCGAACCAGGCAGCAATAAAGTAGTTTGAGTAGGAAGATTAGTTAATGATACCATTCCTGGCGTCACCATTTGCTTGTTGAAGTATCTCCTCAATGCCTCCTCAATTAAATTGGCTATTTTATCACGATCGTTCTGCAACACAGTCGTAAACGTCTCGTTAAGTTCTCTCTCGCAATGCGGAATCGCTCGTTGGCGATAGATATGCGCGACATAACTTACCTCATTAATAAATCCAAAATGTACAAGTTCCTGTGCGAGAAGCATCGAGGTGTCCATTTGGCTCACGGGACACGTCAATTGTCTATTCATTTTGTCATCCATTCGCAACAATATTGTCATCTGCACAAAAATAATATACCGATTTATGATACAAATTGTTGATACATGATACCATAGGCTATCTCACTAAAATGTTCTATGTGCCACTCACTAGTAATTCACTACTATCTTCTCTAGGCTTAACATTACACATCATATTAACTACTCTTCGAGACTCCACGTCCACGGGCTCGGGTGTAACCGATTTAACCGATTCTGTCACTTCGGGCGATATCGCCCTCGGTCGGACAGGCGGAGGCAATTTCGCCATAAATGCAGTCAATGGATATATTCCATACCTGGCAACGTAAAATCACTCTGGTTACCAACTTATCCGATATAAGAAAATCCAGGCTCATGATCCAATCATGTATCTCATGACTGAGATACTCACTTTACGTCTTCAACAAATTTCTCTAATTTCTCCGTAACGGGAATATCACTTAAGCGAATTTGTTGCGGAGGTATCCCTTGATACTTTATTTCGGCGACTACGGTATCTGGTCCATATAGCCTTTGTAACACTTCGTCTGTGATTGTTTCCGAAATGTTAGCTGTAAAATAATCAATGTTATTTATAATCGCAATCATTATAACTATCTTTAAGCCACGTTCACAATATACCATACATCGCGTTGGATGATTAACAGATTTTTTTACTTGATAGATCTTGATAATATTATGTTATAGATTACTATAGATGATCAATGTTCATTAAATAAACATTTTATGATATTACCTTACTTTTTTAAACAATAATATACTTTTAATATTTAATTTATTTATAGCGTATAGATGACAAATTGCTTGCTTCTCAACTTACTAGCCGAGTTGACCAAGGCGTGTGCTGCGAGCAACTTGAGAGAATGTACTTCAAATAGAACGGGGTGAAAGAGCAACTCTCTCGCACTCGGTCTACTAAGCGGATCCACCTGAAGACATTTACGAATAAAATCTTTTTGTTGAACATCATCTAAAGATTCTATTGTCTTCCGGATGTTCTCTTCGGTAACAATTGTACCCGTATCACCGTTTCCCTGAATTTCCAGCGCGGCCATCTCCAAAGCGCACATTCCGAACGAATAAATGTCAATGGCAGGTGTGACGGAATCTTAAAGTAACAAATTGTTTGAATATAATTTAAATCCACGCTAATTTGATCCACGCCTTCGTACAAACGGTGCACTCACTTCCATATTCTGGAGCCACAAAATGCATGTTCTTCATGTTCGTTCTACAAGTCTTGATGTGGTGATGAATTGCATCTGGGGCTACTGTAATTAGAAAGAGATTATTGCCATTTTCACAAGCTGTTCAATTCCAAGGAAAGCGTCAACATAAAAATGGTATATTAATATGAACGTATTCGACAATGTGTTAGACTTGGTTTTGTAGGGCAGCCACCAGACAGAATTATGTAGACGTGACATACGTAAACAAAATATACATTCTAATAGACAATCAATGTATTTTAGATACATATCTACTACGCATTCCATATGTTTGCTGCCAGAGGATGAATGACTAAATTTTTAGAAAAATTGTGTTTCAGCTGAAAATGTATCCTAAAAGTAACTTGAGCCCTCGTACAATTAATAGTTTTCGCATATACAAATGTAAAAGTGTCTCTGAAAAGAGAAGCATGTTTCTTGAAAGATACAGATGTACAAATAAAACATGAATTGTTATTTTATATAAAAAAAAAGAAATAACCACACATTTTTCGATTGATTGCACAGCTCTGCTATAAAGAGCCACTTTTGTCGAGTCAGAATAAGTATGAATTTGGGAAGTAAAATCCCTTAATCGAAAATTACACAGGAAGAACAAAAAAGCAACGTATATATTAAAATACAATGGAAATGCGTGCGCTAGGTGATTGTGAGAAGGGCAAAGAAACACGTGAGCACTCTTTGCCCTCCTTAGTTAAATACAATTAATAACCAGAACAAGATAATAGTGCAACATAGTGGCACTAACATAATAAAAAGAAAAAATTGTAATTATCCGTACATTTAATGGGCTACTTAATAATTAGTATAGGAGTTGTTTACCTCTCTACGCCTAATTTACTTAGCTGGCAACAGCTGATGACAATCTGCCAAATGATTTTTTTCTTGAAATTCATCACCTTTGACAATAACACCAATTGAAGACATCGACGTTGGTGGATTTATCCTCCATGGATGAAAGTACGATTTGTACTTCCTCTCTCTTCAAAGGCTTTGCTGTGTTTTTTTCATTATCTAGATTAGCCTATTTGCTACAATTAAAAATGAGGACTCAAGTTACTCCTAATATGAAAAAGCAATTTAACACAATCTTTCTAATGGACTCATGTTACTAACATTATATAGAATTATAGGAAAAAAACGCGTGTGTGTTATAATAGAGTAATAATATGTTACAAGTAATTCTAAATACTATTTAAATTAAATATAATTCGGTAGAACCACATTCATTTTTATGTAATCGCAATCAATTCGGTTCTTTTAACATACATGTATTCATACATTCATATATACATAGATGCTATTCGCGCTAAAAAATAATTTAACTATTTACAAATGATTAGTAATTATCACGTTTGATGTATATGTATCCCTGTTAAATATACACTTGGCGGGAGACACCGCCGTGTCTCTTGATTATTATAATAATAATACTGGTTTAAAAATGTTCATTTTAGTCTAATGATGTACTGCCTTATAATTATTCATAACAAATAATTCTTTTGTAAAACATAATTGAGTATACGTATGAAATATTTATGTAAATAAATATTTCCACGATATTTGTGTGCCAAACCAGAGAAGCACCTATATTGACACACAATAGAGAATCATATTGTCATTATTATCATATTGTCATGTTGTTTGTTCGATCAGGAACTGAGTCATATAATTATTATTTGTTTCAGCTGAGTAATGAGTAATAAGTAGCACATGATACAAATCTGAAAACCCCTACTTCATTCATACGTATTGTATGGATGCTAAAAAAAAAAGATTTAACACTTAGAAGACATATGATAAATCACTAAATTGAGCAAAAAATATTAACACGAGTTATTTCTTACTCATGTCACT